GAAAAATCCCTTCTTAGTGTACATTCTGTTGACGTACTCTATTAAAACGCAATCAAAAACGGAAAAAACTGCATCTAAAATGGTATAAATAGAAGCAGAGTTCTTTACGGTAACCTTTTCCGTAAGGCTTACCGTAAAGAACTGTCCATCCCCCATGTTTAACGGAATAATATATAGCTTATGTCCATCCTGAAGTTCCATTCTAAATATTGGTGAAAGAATTTTTGAAATCGGATGAGTAGTTTCGGAGATTACCTGCTGCATACAAACTAACATACATACATACAAACATTACCTCTTTATAATATTAGTATAGATCAAGCATGTCGACAATGGTTATTGATAACGATGTTGACACAGCCATTAGGGCCTCAAGAAGTAGAAAAACCTCTGAGGCCGACAATGTTACCTACGAGGTCATCAAAGAAGGTTATAGTGTATTAAGTCCTAATATGAGGAAACTGTATCAGGCGTGTATACTGTATGGTGTTTTTCCTAAGTGTTTGGAACTGGGAGACAGTTAAAATATATAAAGATGGTACTAAACATAAGACAAATCCAAAGTCATATAGGCCGATATGTTTAGTACCGTTGCTGGGCAAGAAGATATTTAAGCGTATAGCGTAATAAAAAACAAAGTAGAGTGTATAATAAATAGGTATAACAATCTGTACCAGTATGGTTTTAACAGAGGGAGATTAACACAAGATGCATTAAGACTTCTCCGTGGTTTTATTGCGTTTTACTACACCTTATTGTATAGTATTTTAAAGCTTATTTATATACAGGTATAGTTATATAAAAGTTTTATATACAGTTAGGCTATACTATATTTTATGGTTTAACTTAGGTTTTAGGATATAGGTCTGGGCGCACTGAATTTTATGGTATTTAGGTTCATATAAACACAGTCTTATCCTCAGTATAAGAGTATGTATATACACTAAGTATTAATAATATATATAAGTTTTAATTGTATATAGGTTAACATAAGTTTTATTACAGGTTTTTATAGGTTTTTGTGGTTACTCCTCTTGCTCGAAGAAGCACTTGCTTTTACAGAAGTGCTGACCGTAAAAATTCCTGCTGCAGCTTTTATCTAATATATGGAGTTCATAACACTATAATTTACTGGTGTAAACTTTAAGAGTATGGTGCATAAAGTCTAGTAGAAAGTGGTGTTGCACTGAAGTGGCTCGGACTTGCTGGTACTGTCTCGCATGTATAGCAAGAGGTAGTAGTAGGACCACCTGGGATAGGATGTATGTGGTATATTTTAAACATTTTGTTCTTTATTTATTTTCTAGTTTAATATTTTGTTATCCCCATTATATGCAGTAAATATAATAGCGAGTAGTAAACCCGGGTCTTCGTAACTACAGTGTGTGCTAAAGGTTTCACCCCATCGACATCGTTACTTGTATCTTCAACAGGTGTTCATTCACCAAAATGTAGGACCCTTGTTTAAATCGACAAGTACTTTTTACAGAAAAACTTGGTGACGTAAACACTAGATCCTACAGGTGTATAAAATTTTATATGTTAGACAGCATATCACATTTAATCCCAAAGAAAAGCTACACATTTTATAATAATTTTATTGTTTATGTTTCGTATCGGTTTATTCATTTCGAAAATTTATACAGAAAATTTTAATTATTTCTTACTTTATATAATACGTTGAAGTTACTTTTAACATTTAATATAGGGTTTATATATATTATATTATGAGCTTAACTGCCTTTAGATTTGAGTAAATTATTTTAACTGCCCTTCGATTGTCTAAGATTTATTTCAGTAAATAATTATAATCATTTCTATATTATTTCGAGTAAAAGCTATGATAATATATAAAATATTTGTTTAATTTCTAATAAATCAAGCCAAGAGTAATTCAGGTTTTGTTACTATGCAAATTTTGTGTTTAAAAAATACAACATAATTAACATGAGATGTTTACGTAAATACCGTGTACTACGAATACTTAGATAAATGTCGTTTCAAACAGGTTTTGAATTTAACGATTTTACGCGTAACAAACTCAAAAAAAGTTATTTTATTGTGAAGTTTTGTAGATAGAAACTGAGTTGCTTTATTTCTCTTCAGAAACAAAAGGTAAAAGACAAGTTATAATAATTTCATATGTAATTTTTTATTCTCAGTGAATTAATTTCAATTTATATTTAGTCTAAAAGTATTTATTTAAATATAAACTAACCATTTATGTATAAAATTCTATAATTATCGATTAATTAATTAAAATAATAATTTGTATTATAATTTAAACTTTTATAACGCCATAGGTTTTTGCCATTATTATAATAGAATGAAAACTGATTAGGCGACCACCCGCATTCGACGGGCACCTGTCAAAACGAGCAAAAATTTCTGGCACTGAATAGTTTATTCATAGAGTCTTCGTATAAGTTACTTGTATAAAACTACTACCTGTGTAAAGCGATCGCGAGCATCGATTTTTGGTCCGAAACAACATACAAGTGTAATAAGCGACTACTTCGGCGAATATATCTAGTGTAAACTATTGTTCAACAACGTTTCCTCCCTCTTAATATAATGAATTAGTCTAAACCAGTTTTTCCCAACGTGGGGCCTATGCCCCATGGGGACAATTCGATTATTAAGGGGGCAATTCGAAAATGGTCTTGTCCAGAGTTTAAGTTAACCATATAGCCGTTGTATATGTTAGGGGGGAATAAAAATTGTAGATAGGGTTAGGTGGGGCATAGCACATAAAATGTAGGGAAACACTGGTCTAAACACTCGTTTGAACCTATGTCGGGCACATCTCTCACTCTCGAAATTAGGTGAAGGTGTTAATGAATTTGTCTAGCAACAAAGGAAATTCATTTCAGTTTGTTCGAAATTATCCGAAAAACGAAAGAAATGCAAAGTGCTGTCGTTAGAAGATGGTGTTAAAGTTATCACAACGGCAATGAGCGGCAAAGTTTAACTGTGGGAAAACGACATTGATTTTACCGCAGACCTACAGTATTTTCCTTGAGGGTACAATGTAACGAAATCGTATTATTAGAAAAAATAATAAAATTGTTTTATTGTTAATTAATAATTTTTCTTATTGTGCTTAATAAAATATTAAATAATTAAAAATACAGTATTTTTTAAAGTTAAAATAAGATGAAACTAACGAATACCAAAACCAAAGTGATGTAGTGATACGCGCTAGTGTATCGATGGCGTAATACACGTATATTGATGGCGTAATACACGTAATAAAACCTGATTAACACGTACATCGTCGTTAATCAGGTTTTTTTAAACTCGTGTGCAGACACGAGAAACGAGGGATTGTATTTTTGGTAAAAGCTTAATATAGGAAATCGACCCCTGTACAGGCTATGAGAACTTCGCTTATCTATTGGTGTTACTAGCGAGAAGAGAATTCGGAAAATTTCACGTAAATTGACACCTCTTGTTGGTGAGGTCAATTTACCTCTAACTACAGCAATTTTAGTTACAGCCTCCCATCAAGCGCTCTAAAACCTCGACATTCGAAAACCGCATAAAAAATATTTTGTTTTGGACTGTAACCTTTTATTATGTAATTTTCCTATTCTAATGTCACTACCATACCGCTGGTGTGATAGAAAGAATGGACTGTTGCGGTAGGGGGTCCAACTAATTTGTTTATAATTAGTCGATAACCTTATCTTCAGAACAAGAAGATCAACGACTACTAATTAATACCAATCAGTGGCGTGCCATTTGACGATAGGGAAGCCGTGTTTTTGAAAGAAGCCGACTTCCAGGGAGAATCGTTATTCGAGCGTCAGGAAGATTTAGGGTCATTCGCGTGTGGGTGTTTCGGTGGAGACACGGATGACAAGAATCTCACAGAAACCCGTTTATTTTAAACATAAAATAACTTACACTATGACACAAAAATGTTCTTTATACAATTGGAGGTTCAAATTGTTGATGGAGTTTCTAATGTTGCTGGAAGCATTATTTCTATTAGATGGCTGCGATACCGCAGTATATTTTTTATATGTTAGTTTACTTTTTTATATTAATCTCTATGCATGGATTCTAAAAGAAATGAGAGTTAGAAGTGGTGTCAAATGCAACCTACTGTACATTAAATATTTATATAATATAAGTTATTAGCAGCCTATGGTATTCTTTGTATAAGTAAGTGGTGCATAATTATTTCACCTCTTACCTATAGAAGATTGGGCTCTTTAATAATATTACTTCATAAATTTTGAGATTAAAGATATATTTAAAAAATTATACGGCCGATATAACCTATTTATTTTTTCAGTATTAAACATCGTGAAATAATGAAGTTAGATATTATTCGAAGAAAATTATCACAAGTTTTTAAACGTTTAGGATCGTTGATTGGAAGACATCCATACTTCTTCATAATCATTCCCATATTAATTTCACTTGCCTCAATAGCCGGAATCTTTAAGCTTCGTTATAAAAGAAATGTAATCAATAGTCTAAAAGCCGATAGCGGCCACTTGATTTCTACAGAAAAATTTCTTGAAGAAACCTGGAAGACTGCATCAGTTTCTGATGAAATAAGATTTACACAAGTTCCTGATGGAGTAATGTTATTCATTATAAATAGAAATAGAGGAGAAAATATGCTAGAAAAAAAAATTCTTCATGAATTACAAGTAGTTGATTCAATAGTTAAAAATTGCACCATCGAAATGTTCAATCGAACAATTGGATATGGTGATATCTGCGCTAAAGTGCGTAACAAATGCTACGAAAACCCATTTTTCGAAATTATGTATGATGCGGATAACTTCTTAACTGAGAAGAGAAAGTTCAAATATCCGGTTGACATTGACAATCTGACCTATTCTTATCACATATACGTCATGAGTTTGGGAGGTGTTACGATAGACGGAAATGACTACGTGAAACGTGTTCAAGCCGTCCGATTGCTTTACCTGATTGACAGAACTGATAAAGTAAACATTCAGTTTGGAGATAGTTGGGTGGCCGAAGTGTATCAAAGGATACAAAATTATAATTTCCAATATATCAAACCATTTATCAATGCACTTTGGTTAATAGAAAACGACATTAAAACATATCTTTACGATTTAAGATACATAATAGCAGCCTGTGTATCGTTTATTTGTGTTTTTTCGATGACGACACTCATGAGTCACAATATTCTAAGAAGCAAACCTTGGATGGGATTAGCCTGTGTTTTCTCTGCTGGAATGGCAATCGTCACTTCCTTCGGAATACTGGGATATTGCGGAATGGAGAACGCTTACACTAATATATGTATTCCATTCTTGGTGCTAGGTATGATTTTTTTTTATTATACACTGCTGGCCATTAGAATTGCAACACCAGGAAGGAAAGAAAATAAAAAAAAAAAGATATTTGTTGTACATAAACAATATGGCATAAAGACAAAATGATTAAATTTGCAAGAAGTTTGGGAGTTTACAAAGGCACGAAATTAGTAGACACAATAGCCATCCCCGGCGGCTGAAACGGCCTTTATCCGTTTAAGCATGGAGTCGAACTGGGCTTGGATGACAGAAACAGGCAACTCATTCCATGCTGTTTCAAGTCTATGCCACGCTTCATCAAGTCTATTAGCAGGAGAGGGGTGGCGGGCCAGTCTCTCAGCAACCCATGACCAGATGTTTTCAATTAGTGAGAGATCTGTAGACCGTGCAGGCCAGGGCAACAATTGAATATCCCGTATATCGATGTATATCGAGGAAGGTCAGAACACGACGTGCAACATGAGGTCTTGCATTAGCTTGTTGGAAGATGGCATTTTGCAGGCCTCGAAGATAGGGCACAACCACTGGACGTAAGATGTCAGAAATGTACCGATCTGCGTTCAAATTGCCATCGATCCGAACTAGAGATGTGCGTGTCGTGTACCCAATTGCTGCCCATATCATCACAGTAGGTGCAGGGCCCCAAAGCCGATATCAAATGCAAGCAGGCGACGAGCGGTCTGCTCGGAGCCTCCAGATACGTATACGGCTATCAGAATGCTGCACGCAGAACCGGGACTCGTCTGAAAAAACGACATTGTGCCACTCCTGTATTTAGCTTTGTCGTTGGGCACACCAGAGTCGCCGTCTCTCTCTATGCTGCATTGTCAAGGAAAGCCGAAGTAATGGTCGCCGTGCTGACAGTCCACGCCGCTGCAAACTTCGTCGCACTGTACGAGCAGATACTGGACGTGCTGCAAACAACCTCATTTCCTGACTAATGGTCCGTGATGTGGTTGTACGGTTTTGCACGGCCGACCTCACAATACGTCTGTCCTCTCGGGCGTTAGTCATGGGAGGGCGTTGAGATCCTGCATGCCATTCAGTAAGACCCTCAGTAGCCCATCAATTCCATATTCGCATGGTTGGATTTCGACTAGTGCGAGTGGCAATATCACGAAACAATAATCCACACTCTCGATAGGAAACAATCCTGCCTTTATCGAATTTCAACACTTGCTGGTAAGCATTTTTTGTTCTTATTCGAGGCAAAACACGATATACTGATGAAACCCCGACCTTACAAAGCGATTTCTGAATGAGAAATCCACTACACAACTTTTCTTTTATGCAGTGTTTCAGATGTCGTTTGTCCCTCCTGCCTTGTTTAAATGCACTGAAATACTAATCATTTGCATATCCAAATTTCTTCTTCCTTTCATATGATTTTGACGTTCATACGATCATTCCTTCCTGGTGTTGCAATTTTAATGGCCAGCAGTGTACATTAAATTATAATAAACAAATGTATGACAATAGTGTTTTATTATATTACAGTTACCGAAGTGGATGACAGTTTCGTGCTGATTGCCAGTTGGAGGATTACTGATTCCGAAAAATGTGTAGAAAAGCGAATGGCAGACACGTTTGCTGCAGCAGGGGTGTCAATCACCTTGACGTCAATTACTAATTTGTTTTCGTATTTTGTTGGAATGACAGCACCAATTGTTGTTGTTAAGATCTTTTGCATTTACTGTGCAACCTGCATATTCTTCACTTACGTATTTCAAATAACCTTCTTCGCTGGATGTATGGCGTTGAGCGGGTACAGAGAAGAGAAAGGTCTTCATCCGATTACCTTCAAGGCGTATGGTAATTTTAAATACTTATCATATTTACATTATAGTTAATTGCTGTATGTTAGTATTCGATCATTACATTAGATTCCATATTAAAAGTAGATTGAATGTTATCGGGATAGTGTTGTTTATTTATATTTATTGACAATTCTCTTTGTCAAATATTTAACGTCATTTCCTGTAATCTTCGACATGAATTATAGCTACAGTTATTGTTAGCATACAAGCCTATATTATATGTTCTCAAATCTGTTCTGTAATGTAGAACGTAATTCTACTTACGAATTGTATTAATTATATTTAGAGTAAAGACAGGACAACTGGATTTATCATGAAATTTTTACTTTCTGAAAATTTTCTTTAAAAATATCATTAAAATAATTATAAAATTAAGTTAATATAATACAATAAACTTATTCACGTTTCTCGATCTTTAGTCAAGATGTAAAGATGTCATCGGTTTAAATGAATATATTATTCACATAATTGATATGTTTATTCTTTTTCAGCACATCAAGAAGAAGATTTTCAAAGAATCGAAAAAAATGAAGAATGTTTAATGAGAATAATTAGAGATAAACTAGGAGACATTCTTTACTATACGCCAACGAAAGCGATTGTATTGATTTTGTATTTAATCAATTTAGGGTGTGGATGCTTCGGAATGTTTTTTATAAAACAAGGATTAGAATATCAGAAAATGTATCCATCTGATTCAGAAATGTATCAAGGTTCTCGAATGTATTACGAATACTTTACCGAATACACTTTTCCTGTTCACATAATCATTAACAAAACACTCGATTATTCAGACAAAAACGTTCAGAAATCGGTGGAAAATCTCCTTAGAAGATTTGAATCTCATCCTCACGTTGCCGATTCTCGCTTTACTGTTTCCTGGCTGAAATATTACAAAGAAGTTCAGAAAAATCCAATTGCAAAATACGCATTTACAGGTTATAACATGTCGAACAAAGATGATTTCATGGAAGGACTTCGAGTTTTCTTACGATTTAAACCAGCCGAGCAATTTTCAAATGATTTGGTATTCAGCCCGGATGGATCCGAGATTACCTGCAGTCGATTTTTTGTTGTCACGAAAAATATACGTAACAGAGAAATTGAAATTGCTACAATGAATGATTTTTTTAAAATTGCAGATGAAGCATCTTTCCCGGTTATTGTTCATTCTATAATTGCAAGTTTAGTAGAACAAGGACTAATCATCGACGGCTTGGCCAAACAACTGTTTTGGATGACTGGGTTATTGATCGCAATTGTTTTTTTCAGTGTGATTCCGAACATCTTCTGTTCTCTTGTAGTGGCAGTTTGCGTTGTTTCTACCACGATAGAAACATTAGGTTACATGAGCTTGTGGGGAATTAACTTAGATATAATATCTTTGACGAGTTTGATTCTGTGCGTCGGATTTTGCGTTAATTATCCGGCTCATATTGCGTATGCTTTTGTGACGTCAAATTGCAAAACGTCGAAGGATAGGATGAAAGATTCGTTGTATCATGTTGGCTTTCCTATAATTCAAGGAACTTTTTCGACTGTTATAGGAATACTTTTCATATATAAAGATTCGTACGGAGTACTTACATTTCTGAAAGTTGTATGTTTAATCACTATGGAAACTGCTTTTCATGCATTATTTTTTACTCCAGTTGTTCTTTCGTTCTTACATTCTCGCCTTTGTTTCAAACAAAAAGCAAATTTCACAGAAGTAACAGAGAGATTTGTTGAATTAAATATGAATCAGGAATAACTGATATTTAACTTGTACCGTGTTATATGATTATGTTATAACGATTATATTGTTTATTTAGTGCAGACAACAACTTGTATTGTTTTTTCCATTGTTTGCCAGTATCTTGTTATAGGTATAATAGATATAATGTTTTAATTTTGTTATCATATATTAATCGATCTGTTGTTACTTGTTATCATTTATATGATGTAATATGTATGATTCAATCTGTACCTTTCTTTCACATAAAATCTGAATAAATGTATATAATTAATTATATTTATCGTGTTTTCGTCAATTAAATGCTTTACTTTATTGCTTTCATATGTACTTTTCATCTGTTTAACTTTGCATACAAATTAGTGATGTAACGAATATTCGGTTACTATTCGGTATTCGACCTATTCGGCCTATTTTTCGCTATTCGGCCGAATACTGAATACCTAAAAACAGGAGTAAAAAATAACAAATACATAGTAAATTAATCATTTTGGTATTTAGATTTAATTTCATCTGGTTAGTGTGGTTTGTTTATATTTATTTATAACTTATGCACAAAATAAAAAAATAAAATAACATTAGTCACATGTATTAGTTACAGTGGGCCTATAGAGAGCGGGGTCCTTGGCATAATGCGGTTTTCGCGCCAATTTTCGTACGTGCGTTAATCGAGCCGAATAGTTTGGCCGAATATTCGGCTATTCGGCCACTCTCCTGGCCGAATATTCGGTATTCGGCCTGAGGCCAAATATACTATTCGTTGCAACACTAATACAAATACATAAATAAAATCGAGTTCATATAGTTTATCGTTCGAATAGTTTAGTTTTTACCAATCACTTTTCAAGACGTCTATTTATATAAAAGTAAATTTATGTCCTAATGTTATTGTGAAAGCCCGAACTTGAGAAAAAATAATTTTCAGAGATTAAATTAAATAATGTTAAAATTTTCTTATCGAAAAATATATATAGAAAATATTTAAAATTTTTGTAAACTTTGTATATAATTTCCTGTATTTTACTTTGTTAATCTTGTTTCTTTTGGAATGAGGTTAACAACACCAATAAAATAAAGGGAGTTTGAGTGAGGACCCGAAAGTGAACGAACATGTTTTTATGATCTCCGATTTTCTATTGTCTTCCTCACCTCTAAACTCGACCCCACGACTACGACTGCAAAATAATACGACATCTATATATATAATCGAGACGTGTTGATAATACAGTAGAGCGTCGTTTATCCGAATCAATTGGGGACTGGGGTTGTTCAAATAACTTATTTTTCGGATAACCGATTATGTACGAAAAAATATATTAACCTATCCCATGTTGAAATTTTTCTCCGTTGCGTGTTTCGTCGATGTTAAGCCTAACGTAAACCTTTTAAAATAATAATCGTGACTATTGTATTGTTAAAAATTATTTCTTTATTTTGTATAAACAAAATAAATATATTGAAAAATATAAAAACAATAAAAAATTATACTTCAGAACTTAATTTAATATCAAAAACGTAAAATATTTGAGTAGCCCAAGACATAGCCAAAGATTGTAACGCCACAGCACTAGCGAAAATTTAAATTTGCCAACTGGAATGCTTTCGGATAACCGACGTTTCGGATAACCGACTTTCGGATAAACGACGCTCTACTGTAGTTAATTAATAATAATAACAAGCGCAGAGCCCAAACGGTTAGGAGTTGAAAGTTGAAATTTGGTACACAGGGTACGTCACGAAAACGCACTAAGAAGGGATTTTTCGAAATTTCTCCCCACGGGGGAGAGAGAGAAGATTAAGGCTCCAACAACAATGGAAGTGTTAAGTAACAATGGAAGTTTTAAGTAACGATGGAAGTGTCAACAATGCAAGTATTAGGAGAAAGCGACGTGCAAGACGCAGATGCAGATTTTTCGTTTTTGCGGGAAATCAAACATATTTTTAGACCCATCTAAAGATTCTCTAATCAGTCCGGAAACAGGGGGACCCAATTCTTGCATTCTGTGAAAATGGGTAAGGTTGACTATAACGTAATAATGTTAAACTTAGTTATCGTTACTTTTGCCCGAGCAACGCCGGCCCTACCTGCTAGTATATATATATATATATATTTAATTGTTGAAAGATATAAAAGTATTATTGTATCTCTCAAGAAAGGTATATTTAAATAAACCAATCGATGTCGAAATGAGTACATTAGATTTTTTGTCGTTAGTACACTTGAAATCCCCTTGTCAAATTAAGCATATAAGTAAAAACTCATGATGTTTTACTCATTTATTTGGTAAAGGAAGGTATCATTATATATATGATTATATGATTTAAGTATGATTACATATTAAATTAGTACATAAATACAGTAAGACAATAAAAGAACAACATTTACCAAATGTCATTACATTAGATCTTTCTATAAAATCAATAATAAAAATCTAAATTGCTTTTTTCAAGCATCCTTGTCACTCTGATTCATCAGTTGATATTGTACTTTGGCACTCAATGCAACTGACAAGCAACTTGCTATGTTCTTTACATGCATGTTTTGCACTCTAACTACACCATGTTATTACCTTACGATTGTCTGACCTGGGACAGAATGCACATCTCCTTGCCCCGTGTGGTGTATGAGGATGGTAGGGTATTGGGGAAGCTGATAATATTCTTTTTATTCCTTTCCTGAGATTTCTACTCACACGTATGTTTTGCATTCTCTTCTACAGATTATCATCTATAAGTTGCATAGCCATGTTTTTGATGAAGCGGCGGCCGTTCAGTTTTTCGTGAGTAGTTTGGTAGTGTAGATATAGGATGTAGGAATTTATGTTCGAGATGTTTAGAAGAGTATAGAAAACTGTCATGGACCAACGACGGCTATTTCTTGAAATGTCATACATGACTGCCATCTGGTCGACCATATCAATGCCTTTTTTAGTTGCATTGTAGAAGTTAATAATTTCATTTCTTTTTTTATCACCAGAATTTGGGTCAATTTTGTTGTTACAGTGAGAACAACAACATTTTTTGTTTTAGTCTACGGGATGTATAAAAAACAGTGTAATGTTGTCTGTTCAACCAAACATTTTGTTTTTTTTACAAATTAAAAGACAAAGTCGTTCAAAAAATATATATTTTTTCAGACGATTACCATTTTTACAAAGTGTTCTAGAACAAAGTACAGACAGCTGGACCTTCCTTTTTAGGCTACACAACTGCCTATATTTAAAAAGTTCCTTAAAAACACACAAAAACCAATAAAATATTAAGAAAAAATCTTCTTTAAAATTGGAATGGTAAATCTTACGACGTCTTGTTACTTCATCCTTATCCATTGGGTTTCTGGCTTTTTATCTACTGAGGATTGGCGCTGACAAATGTAGATTACGCCGATATCCCTCTGGTGACGAATTTTAGCGATATATTTGAATTTCCGTCGGATGAATAAGTTACTTTTTACAAATTAAAAGACAAAGTCGTTCCAAAAATATATATTTTTTCAGACGATTACCATTTTTACAAAGTGTTCTAGAACAAAGTGTTCTTTTTAAATATAGGCAGTTGTGTAGCCTAAAAAGGAAGGTCCAGCTGTCTGTACTTTGTTCTAGAACACTTTGTAAAAATGGTAATCGTCTGAAAAAATATATATTTTTGGAACGACATTGTCTTTTAATTTGTAAAAAGTAACTTATTCATCCGACGGAAATTCAAACATTTTGTAATAATTACATCTGTTGTTTGTATCTAAAAATTCCTTATGAATTTCACACTTGTGTTTTAGAAGTGTGCTCACCGAACTCAAATTATAGACATTGAGTCGCATTTTCACTAGCGGGAAAAATGTGCACCAGTTGTCAAAACGTGACGTTTCTACCTAGTCCTGAGATCTCTGAACCTTTATAACATACAAATAGCCGAATTATCTACCTTGAATAGGCCATCAGGATGTTCTCCGGCGTTTGTTTCTATTTTACAAACATAATAAATTGTTGCATCAGCCATTACCTGTATTTTTATTCCAAACTTGAATGGTTCGCATAGTATATATTCTCTGAAGGAAGATTTAGATTTACCCCAAAAGGCTGGAAGCATATCATCAATTCTAATACACTTTGATGGGGAGTAATTTTTGTCACACTTGTCAACAAACGTTTCAAATAATTCTTTAATTGGAGCAACCTTATCCACTTATCTTTGTGCAGGACGTTTTTCTTTTCCATCGAATCTTAGGCATCGTAAGAGGAATCGAAAGCGTTGTAATTACATTATCAATCTGAATACCTCTACACCTGTGCCTTCGGCAATCATCAAGATTTATTGTATTGCCATTTTGAAGTACTGTATATACATTTAAATGTATAGAAATTAATTAAAATGATAATATTATTGATAGTATACATACTAAATTGCCAAACGATCGCCTAAATATTGGGCTACTTAAATAATTAGAAATAAAGCAATTTGTCATAAGAGGTAGGCGTTGGGCGCCATCTCGTAAGTAAATTAATAATTAAAATTAAATAAATAAATAATTAAATTAAATTTAGAACCTTCTGGAATAAAAGAATTGGCCCGGGACGGGGCTTGAACCCGCAACCTCCGCTTGCCGTGAAGTACGCTACCAGTTACGCTACCCGGACCCCGAGCAAGCCTTTTAATTATTAATCTACTTACAAGATGGCGCCTAACGCCTACCTCTTATGACAAATTGCTTTATTTCTAATCATTTAAGTAGCCATATAATAGCCCGATATTTAGGCGATCGTTTGGCAATTTAGTATGTATACTATTCGGGCTTTGTTTTGTTGTTATTTATATTATTGATAGTGTTACAATTTTATTATGTTTTTAGTTAACTTAATAAACTAAGTTGTTTTTAAAATAAATTACCTTATTGTTGTAAAATTTATTCTTAAAGTTTACTGATATCTCACCTCGATTTAAATTATTATATGAGTTCATAATTAAAAAAACGAAAATGTGTAGTATAATCAGAGTTTCATTTTATAAATTTAATATTTTTAATTATAGTTTATCATTTAAACCATATAGTAATTCAAAGATTAATGAGTTTGTTTGATCACACAGTTTAAATTTGATTTGAAGAAAGACAGTTTGTTAATATTATTATTATTGCTACTGTACAATTTGAGTTAAATTCTTTTACTTTATAATTTTTTACTTTTATTTCATTTTAGTAACAAAATTTTTTTAATTTTAAAAACATAAGTTTCATTTCAATTAAATTACAATATAAATTTTAAGAAATATATTTTTACAGATTTCACATTAACAATTTGATAAAATGGGTGACATAATTGAATATAATCGTGTTATAATATCAAAAATACGAAGAAAAGACATCTGGTATATAAATGAACATTCTATATGGTCAGTGAAAAACATTTATGTATGAAATTTTTTCATTATTTTCTTATTAAATATAAAATAATACTACAGTAGAGCCTCGATTATCCGACCCAATTAGGGACTAGGGTTGGTCGGATAATTGAATAGTCGGATAACCGAAAAGTATGAAAAAATCCATTATTAGTGTAGTATATTATTATATCCCATGTAATTAGTATATTAGTATATCGCTATTAACCTACTTCGCGTTGAATTTTCATCGATGTTAAGCCTAACAAAAATTTTTTAAAATAATAATCGTCGCTATTGTATCGTTAAAAATTAGAAAATTAAGCCTCGTTTAAATACTGGCTCCCTTTCATGGTCGAATGAGTGTTGCCAGCTAAAACACGTAAAAAGAATATTAAAGTAGCCAAGACATAGCCAAATATTGTAGCGCTACATCACTAGGGGACATTTGAAATTTGCCGACTAGGACGGTCGGTTAACCGAGGTGTCGGTTAATCGGGGGTCGGATAATCGAGGCTCTACTGTAATTTTAATTTTTATTTATATAAAATTACAGAATGCGATTCTAATAGATTTTGAAGCATTTCGAGTTATCGACAGTTGGCCATAAAAACATTACACAGTCCTATAGAAGCTGTAATAGAGATTTATACAGATTCTGTTAAAAAGCATCAGTTATCGGCGAAAGATCAATGGTAAGTCGATTTTACTACCAAAACAAAATTCATGAATTAAATTTTATAGATGAAAAACATCGAATATAACTGGTTGGATTGAACATAGTAATTTACAAAAGTTATTAAATTGTTTCACAATTTTTAATGAATTATTTTTATTTAAAGGTGGACAGATAAAAAGAAAAAATCTTTTTAAAAACTGGAACTACGGTTATTTAGACATCGAACTTCTTCGATGTCTTAATTAATTTTTTCAGATTTATAAAATAATTCATAATCAAAATAAAAATTAGTTCATAAAGAGAATTAGAAAAAATCTGACACCTACTCGCTTAGAAAAAAAAAATTAATTGTTAAAAACTTTGATAATTAAACTTATTGTTAAAATAAAATTGCAAAATGGTATTCTAATAGATTCTGAAGCATTTCAATGAAAGATCATGAAATTATTTATCGANGACTACGGCTGATTGAAAGGTTTTCTTTTATAAAATTAATCGATTCTACACTAATCCGACTCAACATTTCCAAAATACGTATATTTTTTCGTAGTTTTATAGGAATCGTAATTATAGGGACCGTAATTATAGGGGGATCGACTGTAGTAGCTTCCTATAACATTTGAATATACGAAGTGATCCAACAGTCAATAAGAATTTTAAAAATTTATGTTTAAAAGTTTTGATCCTGAAGGTGTGACGAAGAATGATCTGGGTTTAGAAATACCAACTTTGTATACAAGTTTTAGTTATCATTACTGTCTCGATGTAATGAAATGGTTTAATCAAATGTTCTTTGTAACTAATTTCTGTCTCTTTCATCTTATTCTTCTAATCAGTAACTTTGACAATGTCGTGTAATGAGCATCCTCAACGTTAATGGTACCCAAACTTACCAAATTGTTCACAAGTTCACAGGCAATGTATATTCGATAAATTCTAAATCCAGGCCTATTTCTATTATTTATAAATGATTTGTCAAATATGTTCGTAGGCAGGATTAACCTGTTTATTTCTAGTTTATCTTTAATGAAAAATATTATTTTAACTTACTTTAGAACGAAACAATTCCATTTTCCTTTCTTCCACTGGCATTCCTTTCTTGCGTCTAATTAAAACGTAAATCTTTCGAGCATTGCAAGATCTTAGCAATTTCTCTAAAAGCACCTTCAAATATTATAAAAAATTAGATGTAAATAACTTATTAATTAAAATATCTGTGCATAATAACATAATGAAAAAATGCTTACCTTTCCCAATGAACCAGTTGCTCCTGTTACAAATATTTCACGATTTTCATAAAATTTCGAGACAGACATTCTTCTTCTGTGAATCTGTCAAATATTTAGTTGAATAAATCATCGCGGAGGACTGTAAAACTGGAGTCATACTTACAGAAAAATAAATTCTTTTTCATATAAGATAAATATCTACATTTTTCCTACTCTTATTACAAATCTCATTAAGAATATGTAAGAATACATAGTCTTAATTATGCTAGTGAGTCCTGGAAGACATCGGGAAACATTAATACAAGGCTCGATATATTCTAACATAGATCCCTACGACAAATCCTAAAGATTCGATATTTAGATCATATCACCAATAAAGAGGTTCTCTGAAGGAGTGGGATGTGCAAACTTCATAACATTGTCGCCCGTAGAAGAGTCCGACATTTTTCGTATGGAAAACAATAGGATCTATAAAATGGGTTCCCCTGGTGCCAAACGATTACGAAGACGCCCCAGGAATACTTGGCGTAGAACTTTTCTTCAAGATTTGAAGATGCTCAATATGACTTTGGAGGAAGCTGAAACCCTCCCAATCGAACTAGATGGAAGATAATTGCTGCCCGGTTTGCTATCTAGCATTGAAGTAATTATTACCACTACCTACTACTATACTACAATATAGAAAATTACAGTTGTATGTTTAGTTATGTATACTTAGTTATGAACAAAACCCAGCTTTCTATATAAATTGAAATAAACTGAACTTAGGTAAAGCGTGCTCGTAAATAATAATAAAACCCGGCTTGCAATATTACTATCCAGAAGTTAAAGAAGGAGTCTCTCGGTGCTGTATTGCTTAGAATGTGCAGATATCTTAGTCTACAATACAGGGAATCATAAAACGTTTTCGAGAAACGGGTAAACACTCGTCTAGGAAAAACTTTAGAAAGAAAACTATGGTCTTTTTAATGCTATATTTCTCAAAACAGGCAAGTTTCCGTAGAAGATTTGACAAAATGAACAAGGGAATACTCTAATATCCCATTATCTAAATGCATAGTGTAGAGATATACGCGACAATGCAAATACAGGCCGTACAAATCAGAGTGAAAACCTTTCATAATCATGCAAGTGCAGTTGCCTGTATTCAAACGTAAACCGTTTGAATACAGGCAACAAAGCTATTCGTAATAAAGACAAAGTAGTAATTCAGAATATTAATCAAGACCAGTCCAGAACAACAGTCTCTAATGGTTTAGGATGGACAAGCGCAGAGTGAATTGGAGATTTGCATTTCTGCGATGGTGCCGTGGACTCTTAAGTCTATATTCTAATCCTTCAGCAACATCAAAACGTAAATTTTTCCAAAGATGAGCCTACATTTTCGTACCACGACAAGAATCGTATGCTAAATGCTAGAAAACTAAAGCCCCAGATGCAATCTAATCATATACGTGTGCTCTCCAGGGCGTCATTAAGCACCCCCACCTTTAGATAAGTACAAAGTATCGAAAATTTCGTATAAACCTGGTCCAAAAGTTTTTAAACAAAATAAGTATATATTAAAATGTGTTAAATTAAAATTACATTTTTGGCAGCCATTATAAGATTTGTTTTTTCTAATAGGTATGCGTACTTCTTATTGTAACAATGAATTGGCCATTACTTATGGTTACTTCAGCAGCTAAATTTCTCATACATTTGCATTATTATCACGTAATTTATTTATCTAAAAATGATATTTTTCTTGAATTACGACGATATGTCTTTTCCTGTAATCAATTATCTTTGTTTTGAGGAAAGGTTTCAAAATCGTAAGTCTTTCTAACCGTTTTTAGAGAGACAATAGACTTAGGAAGCCAATTTACTTGGATTTATGTGTCTTTGTGTTCTTATCTTATGTTTCATCACGTAATTTGTCTACAAGGACTTATTTTATTACTAGGGTTTATTATACTAGTGACATGGTTCTGCAATTCAAGAAAATATATCAGAAAATCAGTCATTTACATAATAAACCAATTTACTTGGTTTTACAAGTCTTTCCTTGACTATTGACGTAAGTAGCGAGCGTTTTACGTAAACAAATTCAAACGTTAAAAAAACGTTTGTGACACTGAAGAATTAATGCCGTCTATACAGAAAATTAGCATTAAATCATGTTTATAAAGTCAAAATAATTACTTTATATAAAAGCTTACTGCGTATATATAATACAAATAAAGATTCTACATGAAGATAAAACTTTCTAACGAAATTTGCTTTAATTTAAAAACAATTAAGACAAATCTATGTATATAATCGAGACGGGTTGATGATGATGATGATAATAATAATAATAATAATAAGTGCAGAGCCCAAACGGTTAGGAGTTGAAAGTTGAAAGTTGGTACACAGTTAGGATACGTCACGAAAACGCACACTAAGAAGGGATTTTTCGAAATTCCCCCCGGGGGGAGAGAGACAGGATTAAAACTTCTATATGGATACGAGCTCAAACTACATTATGGATACGAGCTCAAACGGTTAGGAGCCGAAAGTTGAAATTTGGTAGACAGTTAGGATACGTTAGGAGAACGCACACTAAGAAGGGATTTTTCGAAATTCCTCTCCACGGGGGAGAGGGACAGGATTAAGGCTTAACACTTCCATCGACAATGGAAGTGTTAAGTAACAATGGAAGTGCTAAGTAACAATGGAAGTTTTAAGTAACAATAAAAGTTTTAAGTAACAATGGAAGTGTCAACAATGGAATTGTTACGTAACAATGGAATTGTTAAGAGAAAGCGACGTGCAAGACGCGGATGCAGTTTTTTTCGTTTTTGCGGGAAATCGAACATATTTTTAGACCCATCTAAAAATTCTCTAATTAGTCTGGAAACAGGGGGACCCAATTCTTGCATTCTGTGAGAACGGGTAAGGTTGACTATAACGTAATAATCTTAATCTTTGCTATCGTTACTTTTGCCCGAGCAACGCCGGGCTTATCTGCTAGTTGTATATAAAAACAACGGTGAAATTTATCCATGCTTAATGTTTTCTTTTCGTCTATACGTTCTTATTTTTATTGTATAATTATTTACATCCTTACTAATTTTACGAGAACGAAAATAGGAATAAGTAAAGTCTTACCTAAAAAATTCGGTGACAAAGTCGATTCAATACTACGTCTGAGTTACGTGAAGAGAGAAAAAGACAGAATTTCCTCATCCACTGAAATTTATTTCCTTTGTCGACGACCGGTTTTCCTGATTGACTTTTTTATGCGTTTCGAAGTTGATTTTCTGGCACATGATAGTTCTTATTTTGTTACTTCGAGTTCCTACTGAAAGCGTAGACTATAATTAAATTCCAAATACCGCTTATATAATTATTAAATAAAGGAAATGCTTTCCAGTAGTCTTGACTTTCACTTTAACTTTACTAATTGCGTGTGTTAAATAACTCTGTTTTATTCTTTTCATTGCCAACTTTGCATTCTTTACTCGTATAACATAACTCCAGACAAATATAGACACAGAAATTAATTTTCAGTCCAAACAATCAATCGTAATTGCTAGAATAACACATAAATGTAATAGTGTAACTAGCAATTATCTGTTGTGACACGGTCACAATTCTTAATAATCATATTTTAAATTTATTTCACTTAAAGTATATGCTCTTGATCTCAAATTAGTAGTTGCTTGCCCCTGTACATCATACTTTTCCTGATAAAATAAAATCGTGCCAGTCATCTAACTGACTCCTTTCGGGCAAAATTTTTTGAATTGAAATAACGTGACATCCTGTGTAAACCGGAAGTTTGAGTATAGTTAAATAGGGCTTCCTGCTACTAATCTTTCCACATCTTATCTTGAATTTCATCTGTTTAACTCCGTTCTCGAAATATAGAAAGGGCTGTTAATATATAATAATTATTATTCTATTGTCTAAGAGAAATTTAATTCTAACTGATAAAATATTGCAATGTTACACTCCCGATTATTACTGATAACAGAGGGAAAGTATGGGGTCTTTTCTGTATGTATAAATGTTAGTATGTGTGTGGGGCACGATTATGTTCACCTTGTTTGAAGCTTAATAACTCCTGTATCTTTTGACGAAAACTTTTAAAATTTTACAAGGATATTTGTAAGTAAAGGGCATTAATACGATTAAATTTTGGTGGTTAAAGATCGAAGGGATGAAGAGATACAGCGATTCGTGTGTCATTTTTACAAAATTTTACTATTGAATATCATATTCAATAGAATTTATATTGTATCGTTTATTTGTCTATAAATTACAAGTGTATAAGGTTAGTTGTTTTAAGTTCTCGATGCAGACAATTAAACTGTATTTCGTTCTCAGAAAATCACTTAATTTCTATTATGTCCTTCGTGTGTCAATCAATTGCATCCATTTATCCCACGCCATTGTTAATCTTAAACAGTGGATATAAAAACTCGAGTTGAAAATTTATTCGTAATTATTTTTTATAGAGTCTGATTTATTCTGGAATTACAATTTGTCTCAAATAATGTCTGTTATTTTAAATTTGTAACACAGGTCACGTCATCAGTTACCGAGAAAAACAGGAAACTTGAATATAATAATTCTTTATAATAATTTTTCTTAATTTATTCAAAAATGATTTTATGCAAATTAATGCTATTAAGTTGTTAATTATAAACAGTTCCCTGTAGATAAATTATAAACAGTTCCCTGTAGAATAATTATATAAGAGTAACACTTCATGACGATCGAAGTGAACAAAATTCTATACGTTTTTCTTTTATAGAATGAAATAAATCAGCAAATACAGTAGACCCCCTATAACACTATTAGAAACACGTGAGCCGTTTACAGCTCGGCACACGTATTTGTAAAATCTAAGTGACTCGTACAACATGAATTCATATAACACGGATTATCTACAGTGTTATAGGGGGGTGTACTGTAATACCCTTGTTTATGAAATTGTCGCTGTGTATTCGAAATTAGAGCTGAAAATAAACATTGTGTAAAAAAAACTATTGCTAAATTCAAGGAAAGTTGAGTCATTTATTATTTGTTATATTTTAATTGCTAAAGCTTTAAAAAAAATGTCACATGCTTTTAAGGAAACAAAATATAAAAAGAATAAAACACTTGAAATGCGTCATTATTCGTTTTAAAATATAATAAATTGAATAAATATAATATCGTTTCTAAGCTGAACGGTGATTTTTGATTCCAACGTGCAGCCATATTTTTTTCTTTATTGCTTCATGTAAATTACTGTTATACATTGTTATGTTTTATGTGTGTTTTATTAACTTCTATTGATGTATTTAGTTCTTTCGTATTCATTTTATATTGCTTTCCTACGTCACAATTACATTTACTGGTGTTAAGTCACGCCTCGTATCTACTAGACACAAGCTTATAAACAGTAATACATTTGCTATACAAATAGAACTATTCCTCTGCAGAAATTGTTCTAAATCTTATGCTGTGATGGGAAAGGCTTATTACTTATTATTTACAATCCTGTTAATGAGGTGTATTAACGTGAATTGCAATGTTGGCAATTGTCACCTTACACTGTGTTTTTTTTCTATGTCATCCAATTGATAATGGTCGGTAAGGCCGAAATGCATTTCGTATAAGTTAATTAAATAGACTGGGGACAGTAGAATGTGATTACCGGAACTTTAGGTTGATGATAATAATCTATAGATAACACTAACCGAGGAAAGATATTTTTTAGTATGACGTCGAATGGACGTGTTATTAAAACAAAACACGAATAACTTGAAGGTTATTTAATTACAATTGTTATTATTCATGAGTAATAATTTATTCGGTGCTGTTTCTTGCCACTTCCTTTAATAACAGCTACAGTATGATTATATAAGTATCAGGAAATTCAACTGGTGTAGTGTAATTGGGCTGCAATTTGAAAATATTGTAGGCCTATACATTCCCACTGTCGTCCGTTTGTCCGGGTTTTTTTTTAAATTAAAATATAAATAAAAATTGTTGTCCGGCGTAGCGACGATAACACTCCAGATTTCTTGTTTGTAGTTAACTTAAGAAGACACATCTTTGCAAACAAACCAAAATTCGTCAAGAAATCCAACAATTAACACAAGAACCACGTGAAAATGTTACGAGAAATGTTAAAAGAGCTTGCATTTCTATGTACGACAGCTACAGGTTTCAATTATATATATTGTTTAATTTTAAAAATTATTTAAAAACAAATTGGTTAACGTTTATGATTCCATTTATCCCACGCCATTGTTAATCTTAAACAGTGGATATAAAAACTCGAGTTGAAAATTTATTCGTAATTATTTTTTATAGAGTCTGATTTATTCTGGAATTACAATTTGTCTCAAATAATGTCTGTTATTTTAAATTTGTAACACAGGTCACGTCATCAGTTACCGAGAAAAACAGGAAACTTGAATATAATAATTCTTTATAATAATTTTTCTTAATTTATTCAAAAATGATTTTATGCAAATTAATGCTATTAAGTTGTTAATTATAAACAGTTCCCTGNCTTTGGTAGCGTTAACTTTCGCAAAGTTAATTGCAGTATTAAAATTTTATTAATTATATTATTAATAACTGTGCAGTAAAAATTTTTATCACTTTTTGTATTCATTCGTTTGTATCAGTACTTTCTCCAAAATATTTTGTAAAACAGGGATTTCTAACAGGGTCCATCTGCTAGTAGGCACGTAAGTCGCCATCTCGTGTTAAATTAAACCATAAGAATAAATTAATTTAAAATATAACTTAATTATCTTAATCGTAACATGCGAGTCTATGACACGTGGCCAATTAAAATTCGAACTCTATATGAGATACAATAAGACAGACAAACGTATCTATATTGTCATAAACACGAGAGAAATAAAAACAACACTTGCATAAGTTACTGTATAAGTTACTTTCGTTTTAGCTGAAGTCTTAGTCCATTAAGTCTGAAATTCGTTATATCAGGGTCCATAGAATCGAGGATAAATTGTATTATTTTTGTTTATTTGTTACTAAATGACGTTTTAATCGAAACTATGATGTAAAAACTATAAATCGTGACTATTTAAACTATGCTATACAATGCTATAATTTCGTTATTTGAATAATATAATTAACAATATCTCTTGTTGTTTAAACTTAAATGTTAGCAAATATTAGTGCACATTTTCCAATAATGCACGGTAACTTAACTCGTGCTAATAAGCAGTACTATACGAGAAATTGCTGTTTAAACCTTTTCGTATTCGTTATATATAGGGTACTATAAATAAATCTTATTTCCAACTTATTTAATTTAAAACATTCATTCTGTCCATCTCAAATCGAGTGTGGCTTACCCCTGTATATCATACTTCTCCTTTAACAATAGAGTCGTGCCGGTCATCTAACACCTTTCGAGGAAAATATTTGAATTTAAATGTGACTTTTGGTATAAACAGGAAGTTCCTATACAGTTAGTAGAGTCCTTTTCCCCCAAAGGTTTCCACATCTCGTCTCATCTTTCATCTCTCTTACTCCATTTTCGAAATTAAAGGAAGGCAGGTCGAAGGATAGACGACAGTGGAAATTTATGTGTACAGTGTTTTTTTTTCAAATTGCAGCCGAAACACTAAAATGTAGGCCTATTCGTCGCCTAACATAAAATTCCAGTTTTCCTTATAAATGAATGCTTCCTGTGATGCAGGAAAATAACATTTTCTTCATTTAGTCATTTAAACTTTAAATAAACATTATCATTTATTTATTTATTTTTTTATATATATTTAAAACTAATATTGACTCGCTTATTTAGCAGCTTTTCACCTAAAAGTATTGTAATTTTGTATGTCGAATACTCTCTTTCATTAATTATAATTGAATAAGAAAACCATCTTTTCTATTGTTAAACGAGTAGTCAACGAATTTATCGGAAAAGACAATGAGAAACACGAGAAGAATATTTTTATATTTTAAGTTAAATAATTGAACACGAATTTTTTAATATCGCCTTTAAATTTTATATAAAAGAAATGGTGCTTTTTCTACATTTTCCATTAATAAAATAATCTGATTTTGTTCTCGTATATTTCTCCTTACATAATACAGTGAGATCGTAAAATCACTCCTCACTGGACCAAGCTCGATACTTCTAAGGGTGATGACATCATGACATACTTTAACCGTTTCTATGTGCGATCTGTGTCTGACGTCATCACTTCGTTCCCAGAAGCTCCTCCCGTTTTTCCTCACACTGTGGAAGGACTTTACGATCGCACTGTATA